ATTCTTTTTCTTTACTGAGAAAATCGACTTTTACTGAGCACGTCTCCAAGACGACCAAGTCCTTTTGCACTATTTTCGCGAGTTCTGTTTCAAAGTCACTTCTATTAACGCAGAATGGGTTAGAAATGGTGGAGAATCTGATGATGGTGGCGTAGTGATCTGCACAGGGTTTCCAGAGGGTATCCGATGGTTTTTGAAGAGAGTTAGAATCGGTAAAACCTCTCAAACCCACCAGAGATCCTCTGGAAACCCTGTGCAGATCTCTACGCCATCATCATCAGATTTTCCATCGTTTCTAACCCATTCTGCGTTAATAGAAGTGACTTTGAAACAGAACTCGCAAAAATAGTGCAAAAGGACTTGGTCGTCTTGGAGACGTGCTCAGTAAAAGTCGATTTTCTCAGTAAAGAAAAAGAATTTCGAAAAAAGCTCTTTATCAGTTTGAAGCCTGGCCTCTGGCGCACATCCCATGTAAACGTTTTGGCACTAGATCCTTTGGGAAAGCTTGAATTAGAGCAACAAAGTTTGATGCACGCTTTCAACACGTGCGGTTTTAGTCATCGGAAAGAATCCATTTTTGGTCCTAGAAGTCTGAAAGGTGCTTTTCCAGATTCAGTTTTCAGCGCTGAATCTGAAACATTTGACCTGAAAACTCGAAAACGGAATCCGGAAAACCTAGGGTCACGTTTTTGAAACGTAGATTTTTAAGGTTTTTGACATGCTCCAAGTATTGTAAGGATATCTCAGCGGAGAAACGGTTTTGGAAGATGGGGACGTGATATTCGTGATTCTCATTCAATTCTCTATCGAATGGTGTATAAGCGAGCTAAATCTAAATTTCGCTCGAATTCTGCTTTCCGTGCATCTTAAGCACTAAAGGGAAATTAGTTTTTTGAGTGGAAATTAATAAAACTATATTGAAATTTTTTTTTCTACTTACTTTGACCCACCAGACGTCCTAGAGCGATGATTGGATGATACGAAGTTGTTTGAGTTAAGGGTGGAATATTTTGTAACTGCTGTATATCCGTTGCAGTAAAATTTGATAATGTAAATTCGCATAAAATAACATTATTTATAAGTTGTGTTCGTACAATTGAGAAGGATCCTCCAGAATGTGGTGGCGCAGCAACAGGATCATCATGATCACTTGGATTAATTAATCGTATTAAATCAAGAGTATTATTTTGAAAATGTTGAAAAAGAAATACATGCGTTTCACCCTGAAGTAAAATAAAGAACAACATCATTTGGATTTATATTAGAAACTTATGTTGAATTGTTTACCATTTTTCCATCTAACGATAGACCCATGGCTATCCATTGTTGAGCTTTTAAATTGTTTATCATCATTTTTATTCTCGTTGTTCCCACTGCATACGTCCAAGAAATATTTAGACTAACATCGGTTGGGGCTGGTAAAGCTGTTGTATTTAAAACACTAGGTCGGGTAGAGGACGAATTCGATGGAACATCTGCAAAAACATCCTAAAACATAAAAAAATAAAAGTTCAAATAATAAATAGCTTACCGACGTATATCCAGAAGTAAAAAATATTAAACTTTTTTAAATTTCACTAATTAATGTCCGAATATGTTTATTAACAACGACGAGAGAACAAAAAATGTTTTTTATTTAAGCATACCTGCGTCTTAGAAGATTGCAAATGTAATATAAATAAAACAAAAAATAATCGAATATTCATCATTTTATCTAAAAGATGAAAAATTAAAAAGTTATGTTCATCTATCCAACTTCAAAATTTCAAATCTTTTATTCAACTCTTGTCTAAATAAGGTGTACGACAAACGTTTAAATTACTTTTTATTTTTAAGTTTTCTCTCGAAGTATATGATAACTAGAACACATCTGAAAAACGATTTAAATAGCTGAAATAGTTTTTCGTCCGAAGTGTACATAAAAATTTTCTTTAAATTTTCTTTAAACATCAGGTCTTTGGAAAACCAAGATTTTAAGAAAACTCGCAAATGTTTAATGCTGAAATTCGATTTAAAACTTTTTAAAAACAGCTCCGTCGTGTAGAGCAAACATTTTTGAGCAGAATGAGACGTTCCCGACTCGTCAACGATACTTTCCCATGTAATAGTGTTCAACTTACAAAAAGCCTCCTCCATTTATTGTCTCACTATTTTTATTATTTTCTACGAATTTTTGCGAATTCTGATGCAAACTTTGATAGATTTTTACCCGATTGCAACTATTGGGTACCAACGATGGAAATCTAATAACTGGATGATTGCTCGATTTCGTCTCAGTTGAAACTATCGACCTACACCCGATAATCGATCGCTTTAACTATTGCTAGTTGCGCATGCAGACACATCAAGTTAAAAGTCCCATTTCCAACTATTGACAACTAGTCGTACGTCGACCGATTACAGTCGAAATGTATCTAGATTTTTCCCATAGGTAATGTTTGCTTGAGTTTTGTAAAATTTTGGTGTTCCAAAGATCTGCTACTTAAAGATTCAGATAGAATTATTATCTACACCTCTTCTGAAGAAAAAAATCTATTTCAGTTACTTAAACCAGATTTGTTCTAGCTATCATATACTTCGAGAGAAAACTTAAAAATAAAAGGTAATTTAAAACGTTTGTCGTACACCTTACCTGTTTCATTTTAAAAAATGACTATTAGAATTTTCTAAATGTTTAAATTAAAACTTCTTTATTTCTGAGTTACAGTCAGTTAGATAATATCATATGAAAAGCATCACGCACTACTTTGGACTTTCGAAAATGAATTGTCAGATGTACTTTTTACCGTATATATATCGTTATTTACATTATTATGTTACCTTTTCTTTCACAATTATCATTAACACATTCATCATGATACATGAGGATAGAAATGATAAATACTTTTTTTATCAAACAGCCTTTGGTAAGAGGACAGCATGTATACTCTTTTAAATAAATTTATTACAATTATCAGCCTATTTACAGCATTGTCATCATGATTTGAATAAAATTATAGTTTTATATTCCAATAGTTAAGCCGACTAGCAATTGTTAAATGAAACAATACTTTTTGGCCATTTTTTATAGCTAAAAAATGTAATGCGATG